GTCCCAATACTGAGCCCTGGGGGACAGCGCTTGTGACCGGCCGCCAGCTGGACCAAACTCTGTTATTTAACTCCATTCTGTGCTCGGCCAGCCAGTTTTCAACCCCACTTAGTGTACAGCTGTCTAGGCCATGAGCCGCCAGCTTTCTTGGGAGAGTGTCAAAGGCTTTACTAAAGTCCAGGTAGACGACATCCACAGCCTTCCCCTCACCAAGCAGGCAGGTCACCTGGTCCTAGCAGGAGATCAGGTTGGTTTAACAGGTCCTGCCCTTCATGAACCTGTGCTGCTGGCCGGGCCTGAGGCCCTGGTTGTCCTGCACCTGCCATGTGAGTGCCCTCAAGATGAACCATTCCATAACCTTCCCCAGTACCAAGGTCAGGCTGACAAGCCTGTAGTTCCCCAAATCCTCCTTCTGGCCCTTCTTGTAGATGGGCGTCACATTGGCAAGCACAATTTGTTTCAACAGGAAACAAAACCCCAAAAAAATAGTTCACTTTCTTTTAAGAGAGCAGCAGGTGGAGGTAAGAACAATTAAGACAGAGACAAAGTGCCCTTTTATCCAGTTCTGGAGCTATATGGGCTATGCTTTTTTGCTCACAGTAAATTTTACACCACAGTCCACTCCTGGAGAGGGTGATACTTCTGTGGAAAGTTACACCCGAAGATAAATAAAAGCAAACCAGTTACTTGAGTTCACATCGACCTTATATCCACAGAGCTACATAAAAATATTTTGTGATAAACACATCCAGTAAACAACATTTCTGGGATAAATGTGTCTCATCTGTGGGTAGAGAGAAGAAGAATGAGGAACAGAAAATGCACCCAGACAATTTAAGTCAGGAAATACCGTGAAAAACCTTAAAGATGACTGATCATGATTTTTTTTTTCCCTGTAATCGCTGTCAATGGGAATGAAATACCATATGCTTTCAGAATGGGTTTACAGTGATATTTTGGCTCAATTTTCCAGAAATGGAAAGCACCCGTGCTTCTGCTAACATCTATTACCACAACAGATAGCTAACACCATAACTAGCCCTGAAAACAGAAACAATCTTTTGCAGAACTGACAAGGACAAGAAAAGTGCTCTGTTCACTATCTTAAAATATTTCCAATGAGAACAGCAGATAATCTGAGCTCTGTTTCTAGATGCAGAAAATTAAAACTGTCTCAGAAGTCCTAGAAGAAATCCTCAGGTTTTGAATTTTAAATAATCCATGTACAACAAGACGAAGCTAAGTAATAGGGAATTGTTTCAACTTCACAGGTTTTACATGAAAAAAGCAACATATAGTCTGCTCCTAAAGATAGGAGGTAACACTAAGATAACAGTAACAGGAAAAAAAAAAGGGGCTTTTCCTCTTAATACATACATGTAGTGCCTAGAGCATAACCCAGACAATTCCACTACAGAACACACAGAACAAACAAAAGTACAAGTATAATTCAAATGGAAGTTTTTAACTTTAAAATCAATAACAACAGCCGATTCTGGGGATCACCAAAAATGCAACTCTAACTCACTCCCTTGTCACTGTAACTTTTCTTTAAAGAATGCAATCCACTTAAATTATTTCAAAGCTAGAAAGAAAATTTTTTTCTATTTTTATTAGCCTTTTGAAAAGCAACATTATGAAGGGTGATGTTGCGGGGGGTAGGTGAAGGAGTTACCTTTACTTCCTTTTTAATACTTTTAGGGATGCAATTTACCATACTTAAACTGAAATGACCGTGTGCTAACAAGTGGAAAAAGCAAACAAGGAATGTTCAACATCTTTTCAGTTGTGGCAAGTTCAGGTTCTGTTCATAACAGAACAAGTTCTTGGGTGCAAAATTCTCAGAAGCGAGACATTTACTGAGTCAAGTCTGTAACATTTCAAGTGGGAATTATTTTCTGAGTGTTCGACATAACCACCTCGCAGTCATTAAGAGTAACGTCACTTGATACTTTGCCCTAGGCTTAAGTAGCAGGTTCAAAACTTTGCTTAAGATAACGGAGGTTGTGGTTTAATTATATCAGTTAGCAAAGTTCCTTAAAGAGTCTTTTCAGTAAGGAACCATCACGTCAAACTTTGTGGTCTGGACACACAAGCAACAGCCACTAACTCTTCAGCCCCAGCTCCGATTAATTTCTCCTAAGGTCTTACACAAAGCACCAAAACCCTCTGTGCTTCTGTCCTTCAGTTTCATTACCCAGAGATTCACATGTAACACATGTTTCTTTTGTGGAAGTGATGGGAAATACAACTGGCTAATAAATACCACATATAAACACCAGCACAGGAAATCAGTAGTTCAGGTTCTCTGTATTATCAGAGGCTGTGGACTACAGCACGGTTGGGTTTTTGGGGTTGTGGGGTTTTTTTTGTTTGTTTGTTTTTTTAAGAGCAACAATAGAATTCACACTCCTCACTTTTTACAGAGCTCCAATAGAAGACAACTGTTAAAGAGACAGATAGGGAATTTATTGCAACCTTTGCATCTGACCGCGTACGGCCCTGCACTGAATTAGCACATGCCTTACCCAGCACGATCACACCCGTTCTGTGTCTGCACAGTTCGTGTTTACCGCGGTGGCGCCCCACTTCCACATGGGAAAGCTGACGATACTTGTTTGAAAGAAATTCTACTCTCTCAATAGCCCATGAAAAACAGGCCCATGTAGAGCGCAGCAAAATGCACTGAGGATGATCAGTGCTACTGGTAACGAGTACTGCGCGTGACAGCTCGTATCTCTCAAAAGCAAAGCCAAAACGCTCCAAGCTGTAGCTCCCAAATGGAGCCACCCTTTCCTTAGCTCTTTGGTAGTTCTAGGAACTAGAACTTAGTAGCCTAGGCTGAAGTGCAGGAAGGTTGGAGAAATCCGTTCTCACCAGGGCAAGCAGAGGCAAACATTGGTAAGGCATGCTCCTCCTGGTTCCTCCGTTGATAACGCTGCACAAATTCCCTCTGGCTCTCCAGGATACTGAAATCAGCAGCTATAGTGGTGTCAAATACATAATGCACCCCTATGAGAAAAAGCAGTAAGGAAAAGTTAATTATGAGCATGTTTTCCATCTCAGAGTCTTCTTTCCAAGTTCCAGGTGTACAGAAAATCTTGGAGGATCAATGGGTATATTCTTTCCCCTCTTCAAATTTTCACAAATAGTACAGTCAAAAATAAAAGCCATACATTGAAAAGCTCTCTCTATGTCATGAATTTAAAAGGACCACCGACTTGCTAATGCTAACTAGCAACACTTCAAGTAGTTGTCTGCTTCCTTACCAGAAGCTTGCTGTTTGGCACATACTTGCTTTTTGTTTAATTGAATGGGATTTGGTGACTCCTGGGCTATATGCAGTGACTCTTGAAAAGGAGCGTTCATTACCCACAAAAAATACACCCAGCTAAGTAAGAGGCGTATCTTCCATTGCTGAAGTTGTCTGCAAAGGTACATGAGCATATCACCAACACAGCAGAGACCTTCTGCCTGCTTATTTAGCAACACACTCCCTACCCGCCTACGTAATTTTGAGCATGTCCCCGCAGCAAGTGAGGCAGAGACAATTAACGCATTCTAAGAAAACTGGGGCCCACCAGAATTTAGCGTCCCTTTCAGATGAAGAAAATACACTGGGTACAGAGATGCATAAAAACTATGAAAAATTAATATATATAGGACAAAACAGTTTATAGGCTTATTACCGTCCTTTTCCTTCCTTCCTCATGCACATAAAAAAACCCCAAACCTATAGGCAAAGCGTTTTTTGGTTTTTAAATAAAACTCTGTATATATGGTATAAAGAGCAAAGGAAATATTGCTTTAACATGACATAGGCAGATACACCAGTTCTTGCACGTGATTTCAAATTACAGAAAAAACAGAACTGAGAATCTTCTAGATAGATCATGGGTCAAAAGGACTGGGAGGCATTTAGGATAAGAATTTCCTCGTCCCTTAAGTTATAAAATAAGGGAAAATCTTCTTGAGGTTCATGACAAAATCCCCTGATTTCTCAGTAGTGAAGGTTTCAAAGAAAGCTCTATAATGTCCTTCTATTCTGTGACCTTTACTATCAGCAGGGTAATGACTCCAATCCATTTCTGAAACTGGCTCTGTCATACTGATGCACTGTCGTTAATATCACTAAGCACATATTTCGAACTCTAAGCTAGATTGTGCAATGGCACTTTATGACTGCATAACAAAGAATTCCGCTGAGGAAGCAAAAACCTAAAATAATTTCCTCTTTCTGCTCCACCATCGTTACAAACCCAAACTTACCTAGACTTTTGAGGAAACCACAGAGTCTCTTGGCTGCATCATTCACAGAGAGATTGAATTTAGCAGCAAAATAAGGCAATGACTGAGGGCATATAGACACTGCCAACACTTTGTGTTTTGAGGTATCACACTTCTGGTAAACAAAACAAAAAGGAAACAAGGTATGTAATTACAACAGGGTAAGGCTCCCTATTTTCCCTCCCTTTTCCACTCCTGGAGTTAATTCCTCAGTGTCCTATGCTTCAGTGGGCTGTATCATGAAAACCCCTATGAAACAACTACCAAGGTTCCTGCGGGCAGGACAGGATGCTCCTCTGATCCTGGCAGTGTTCATCTCTATTCATCTGTAGATATTTCTTTTATACAACTCAGGGAAATCCACCCCTCCCAGGACAATTCTGTGGTTGGTCTAATGGCATAAGGAAAGTTAAGAGGCATTCAGCACTTAGGACATTCTAGCAGCATGAAATATTCCAGGATGTATGAAAAAAGCCATACATTTAAACATCAATAAAGTAACGTTTACAGCAGCATGGGCATTTGAAATCACAAATCCAACCCAGCAAATTACAGACCTGATCCTTTGTTAATGCTCCTGTGTCTCTATGACTGAACTTGTTGAGGGAAACTGGCAAGACAGAACCCTGACAAACCAGTGTCTGTAGGCACTGAAGACCCCTTTGAAAACAGCTAAGATGGTGTGCAATTGTAAAGCTCTGATAACCAGGGCTTCGATTTGAAGATGAACCTTGTGTTTCAGTTGGGATGTTTCCACACCAGTGGAACCCTTGGAATAAAAAACAAGACTATGCCAGAGACAAATCTCACCCTAAATAGGTTAGAGTCCATAGTTTGTAGTTAAGACACCCTAAATGCTGTATAACAACCTTTCAAGTAGAGCCCCTGACTGCCTGGAATGCATCTCTCTTGCTCACTGTCCTCTTTTGGACCCCCGAAGTTCTGATCAAGGTACCTGGCTGCCTCCTTATTGTAGGCCTCAGGCTCTCTTAATAGGACTTACATGAACCAAAAGATGTTCAATTTTTTTCCCTTTTTCTTATGTTCGACAACATCATACTGTACAGAGAGTTAAATTAGTTCTAAGAAAGTTGAATCACTATGTAATGAATCATCTCATTTATGACACTTACGTACAGATTAAGAAAAAGCACCAATTCTGGTAGCTCTTGCATACCAAGTAAAGACACAGAAGTCCGGAGCAGAACTAAAATAATTAATTCAATATCACGATCTAAAGATCTGAGCACGATACATAGCAACTAGCTTTCAGGAAATCCAGATCTCAGTTTAGGAAATAAGACAACAATGGAACACTTTTTTTTGGTTTTGCTAAGTTTTGCTAAGAACTTGGACAAAAAAATCTGTTCCAAATACAGTCAGCTCGAATATATATTAAAAACAAGTCTACTTTCAAAAACATGCCTTGCTAACTTTCTATTATGTTGATACATCGGCACCAAACCCACCCAGAACAATCCTAGTAACGAAGGCATGAGTATTTATAAACACTGAATCACAAATGATTTGTTATTACAGTAACGAGGTTGTCACATCTTCTAAAAAATTTTACTTTTGCAGTAACTATCCTCTAGCGTTTAGGTTAAGTGCTGTGATCTTGTGTATCTAGTGCAAAATTATTTTAAGTACTTTAATGTTCATCTTGCCTGAAGTTTTCACTTCCTCTTTGGAAAAAGTACATCCTGACAAATCTTCCCATTATCTGCCTTGGGAAACCAAGCTGCTTAGTCATTCTGCAATTGCCGCCTCCTCACAGAAAACAGCATGTTATTGTTTGTGTCACTTTACCTTATTAAGGTTAAGAATACGGAAGAGCTCCTTCTGATTCTGTTGGAAAACTCTGGCTCCTTCTTCCGATGTCATACAATTGTCACAAGCTAGGCAGTCGCTAAGGAGTATTTTAGCATTAGCCAACGTATGAAACTCATTTTTCTGGGGGGGAAAGAAGGTGAACAAGTATTTAATAACAACTGACCAATTTTCAAGACCTCTGCAATGACCCAGCTGAAAAGCAAACATGCTGTCACTGTTTTGTTTAAAACAAGACAATCCATGACACTTGTATAACATCCAAGATTACTTAGAAATAATCAAAACAACTTGTTCCATGCTTCTTCATGGCTCTGCTCCTCTTGTTACTGTGAAACTGCAAAACATTTAAGCATAAACATAATCTAAACCTAGCCCTCTAGTCCATGTTCTAGTAACTTGATTTCATTGCATTTCAGAGTTGACAGTCCCCAGCCACTTACCAAGGAACTGAGAAAACTCCTACTTGAACTATGAAACCTCTTTAGTAGCCAGATGCCTCTCTAATGGCAAGATGGCTTTGGCTTTTTACCATGAGGTAAAACAAACAGAATGCAGTCCTACAGTTACACTACACATATACTGCAAGATCAAGAGTTTCATACTGCTGGCTACAATGCCGTTGGCAGCTCATCTGGGGGAAGGAGAACTGCTTGGATAGAAGTGCAACATAACCAGACTACTTGCAAAAGAAATAAACAAAAATCCCTCAATTAAGAACCCATTCCTAGGGAAACAGTTATCAACTGAAGAACATGAAGCAATCTGTAAGTTTGTCCACTATAAAGAATAAGACGACATGCTGTGCACTCATACTATCAAAACTCCTCTTTACTCCTTACAAGCGCTGTCTCTATATTTTAAGACCCAAAGAAAGATTTTTGACATACAAAAAATTTTTTTAGAACTTCAATTTATTTTGCATTCACATAGTAAGGGTTTTTTTTTTTAATTTCATCTTTTAAAAAGATTCCTGATTCTCATGTTATGACATGTCTAAAAGTGCTCATAATTGCTTACAACTGTTTGTTGATTAGTGTTATATTTAGCACTCTAAAGTTCTCCATTTATAACCTCCTTTGGGGTACAGAACAACAAAAAAGAATACAGTTAAGAGCATATTACAGCTGTTAGAAGGAACATTACCTCTTCAAAACCATCATCTGAACTCAATGCATCAACAGATGTACTTTGCGAATCATCGTTTTTCTGTTTTTTACTGCATTCCTGAAACAAAACACAAAATGCATGTATTATGCAAAATACGTTCACCGTCCAAGAGCATCTTTGCTGGACTGCTTGTACCATCAAAAACTTATCTAGCTCTTTTACAGGGCTTTTTGGCAGTGTTAAATCTACATCTTTATACGCAGTGCCTTGTCTTCAAAGTGCACGCTACGGTGAAAAGAATCCCTCAGAAATTCACTCGCTCCACCAGCGTTACCGTTCCGGGCGGTACTTCAACGCCGAGGGTCACACGAGCTCCGCGGCCGCCGTGTGTGCGGGGCGCGACC